GTGTTAGGCATAATTGTCTCAAAGATTAAGCATGCTTAAATAAATTTTCTGAACGAGTACCCAACTTTGAAGATAATATGATGGCAGTTAACATAAATGGTTAGGTGTTATTCTCACTAATCAATCATAGAAATTAACAGTTAGAGGCTCACGGATTAGAAACTCACAAAACTTATTAAAGTTAGAGTAATTAAACAATATCATCACTTATACAATAGATATAGCTTGTATTCGAACGGATAAATCTCAATTTCAGATTATTTTCCAAATCACAGTAGATAAAATAGTGAGAAATCACTTCCTACCTGCTTCTACCACTGCCAGTCTTAGTCGCACACAATTTAGATAGATGTACAGCCTAAATCACCTCAGTATGATTCGTCAGCTGTGTTTAGCCAATTATATAAGTTATTTATCATTGTCTAAGAAGTCTTAATTTGGAGTACAGATGTAGCACTATCTAAATATGGAAAGTTTAAATGGTAGAGATTTGGTTAATTTTGTCAAAAGTGTACGATTGACGCTTATTTAAACAGTATTTGCATCAATCATAGAAAATCAATTGACTTTCTTTAAAGTTTTTCAACGGGTTCAACATCTAATTGCGAATGAGTTGTAAACATCCTTATAGAGGGTTGATTCGTTAGGTAATTCATTCATTCACTACATCTTAACAACAGAGTGGGTATGAATTAATTATCTGCTTATTTTAAGATTAAAAATCCTAGATTTGAATATTTACAGTTTCAAAATGAAATCGACTAACCTAATCACGTCAATAGTGGTAGTATTAGTAGTAATAGTATTCGGTTGAAGATTTTCCTTCACATCACATTATACGAACAGTTTGATATAAATAAAAAAGGTATTTATTGGCTTTCATCATATATATATATATGCACACAATCTAGTTGTTTGTGGTTGAATTTTCATTGCTTGTTTTCAAGCCAGTATAAAGAACTAAATGTCTAAAGTTTCTGAAGCTTTTGTTGATCTTTTGACCCTACTTCCTCTGATTACAAATATCCTATCAAGATGAATGTCACAAAGTTGATATAAAAGGTGAATGTATGTGTGTGAATGAGTCGACTTCTTAATCTGATAAAGTTGTGATTATATAAGAGAATATTATAGAACATGATTTCAGTTTGTTTACAAATTTCCACTTGTCTAATCATCACAGTGAAGTAATGTGTGTGTATGCATGTATGTATGTATGTATGTATTTATGCGTACGCATATAAGTTTGTCTGTTTCTGAAAGAAATGATTAATGCTTAGCTTAGGAATTCTTTCCTACTTTATTTGGCTTGAAGAATCAATATAAATCTACACTGTTTCCTTCTAACCCTAACGCACTTCACCCATGTCATTACTACGTAGTGCATCTACACATTCAGATATAGAAGAATAAATCAAATCTTCTATAGTGGAAAGAAAGCTGTATCAGTTTGTATAAGATTAAAGTAAATCACATATGAAACTTGTCAACTGGCTTATGAAATATTATAACATTTCTTTCAGCCAGTTACAAGATAAGAATTACTTTCACTTGATTCTTATCAGCAAAATGGAATTACATACGAATCACCAAAATTATCCAATATTAGACATTTCTATGTACTTTCAGTGAGGTAGTTTTACATCTCTATTTCGGCATTTAACAGGATTGAAATTAAGAGTTTTAGTTTCTCTTTGCAGCAATATTATCAACAAATAATATCACTACTGTGTATCCGTCCATTGGTAGTCTACTAAAAACTACGGTGCTACTTTTATCTAAAAGACGGACGATTAAAATATTACAACAGTTGCGGAAGATGTTAGAGCTTCTACTAATAGCCTACAATTACTATCTGTCCGGTACTTTCTGCCTCCAAAAAATTAATTTGAAGACTACCACTTGAAGTAGATTGAAATATTGACTTGACAAGTAAATGTGTGATCAGATTGTTCGAAATGTATAGCGCTAATACATCACATTTTTCAGATAATCTCCGTCTTCTAATAATGCTATCAAAATTTATAAAAGGGACTAACTGTTTTAAATATTAGGTTTCACTTGGTACTGGATCGAATGGATCGAATCAAATATATTTTTTACTTTGAAGCAATAGTTTTTTTTTTTTGAATACTCACGGATATTTTAGGAAATTCACCACTGTGTATTCAGAGATATGTGTTAACAATATGAAGGGAGGCTCTGGTTTCGAATGTGTTAAGTTTATGAATGTGATTTAAATTACAGTCTGATTTCGCTGGATGAATCACCTCAACACAGTTTCACCAAACATCAGCTTTACTGTTTTTACGAATTTTCCATAAGTAAAACGTCTTCGTTTGTCAAGGTGAAGGCCAACGAATTACACGTGTAACAGAATACTTTTTATGTGTGAGGTACAGATCTGATAGTTAGAATTTTTAAAACCAGTCATATCAGTAAACTGTCTCTTATGCACTTAATGTACATTTGGATCTATCTTGAAATTTACTCTATCTACACATCTCAACGTTACGACGCAGAAAGAGTCAATAATAAAAATTCTGTGATCACTGAAGTTGTCAACTGACTAAAGGTGATTCTTTTTACGAGTTAACAATACTAACTGAATTGAAAGTCATACTAGGCGTCTTAGCATTAAAGACTATATTGTATAATTTAATAGGTGTTTCAGCTTTAAAAAGTAGTAAAATGCTGCTATATCTTCATCCGTAAAAGTGCAACTAAATTAAGGAAACTTTTTGATTATCTTATCTTTTCTATTCACTCCCCTTGATTTGTGCACTCGATGAGTAAACAATGAGTATGGCTAACGATAATTTACTTAGAACACAACATCTTTCCTAGCAATTAATATTTCTCAGTATTATTAGATGGTTGGAGGTAATCGACAGGAAGCGGTGAACCCAAGTTTCATACATGTTAGCACTTGTCAGCATGGCGTATCTGCAACCACGAGGAAAGCGATTTCCCATCTTAGATTTCGACCTACAAGAGGTCAATTATAACTCCACATAGATCAGTGGTAAGGTCTCTAACTGAGGCACTGGGTGACATGAGTTCGAACCTCAGAGTTGACATCAGTTCCTTCAGGATTGCAGATTCGTCTTGTTGACGAGCACCAACAAGCACGAAACCTAGGTCCAAGGCTTCCAGCCGACTACCTTCAACCGTCTAATACCAACAATTCAAAGTGCACCGTGCCACCTAGCATGGTGGCCACACTGCTAACTTCACTGAGAGAATTCAGTCTGCACCAAACAAAGGACTAGACGCATGACACTAATCACTTACTATCTACGTTGAAACCAGTCAGTCAGTCAGTCAGTCAGTCACCTAGTGCTGAATCAAAGTATTTCTCAGTATTTCATGAAATGTACACTTTTAAGCAGTAGCTAGTAGTGAAATTCTTCGCATTTATTTTTCCTGATTTAGAATTAACCAAACAGATGTATTAACCTAATCGGTATAGAGTATCTATGTTCACAATGTCAATGAATATCATCCCCCATTAGCTTCACAATAATCACATCTAGTGTTTTACATCTCATAACGAATATTATTATTATTAATATACCCTTGGGTTTCCAGTGGAACATAGGGCTTCAGAAACACATCTCAAATTCGCCCTATTTGATGCTTGCCTCTTCAGATGACTGACCCCACGATTCACCATAATCTCTCATCTCCCCCTCGCCCCACGATCTACTCCATGTCACCCTCGCACCAACGACACACCCGTCACTTCCCATTCGGATTCAACTCGAGTGATGGACTGCATTGAGCGCGATGTCATTCGACGGTCTCTTCAGTGTATGCTCGGTCCATCTCCATTTCCTCCTACATATTTGTTGAGCCATTGACTCCTGTTCGGTTCATTCCCAGTCTGAGTTTCCTGTTGCTAATTGTTTCTGGTCGGCTGGCCGGCCATTCGATCTTCAATATGGAGCCGACGAAGTGGACAGCTGTTGGTAAGAGACTGCGGTAACTTGTCGTCAATGCTCTTCGTGACGCACTCGCTGTGCAATTTTCTGACCCATATAGAAGAAGTCACTGACTTACTTCACATTTGTGTTGTCAATCCGAATCTTGTTGTTTATGCTGGCTGAGTGCAGTGTAGAAGATTTCCAAACTGGTTTATACAAATACATGTTACACGTTTCCTTTGTTACATATGTTTTTCGAATTTAGCATAATAACTGTGTGACTCACAGCATCCATCTCTAGTCCTTGTACATTTTCTATGCGTCCAATTGATATCACGTAGAAATAAACTCAATTAAGTCAACAGTCCACTGGATTACTTACTTGATTGTCAAGTATTTAGTCATAAAGCCCTTCACCATTTCATTTTGCAGGAGTTAAGAAGCTTTCAGATAATTCCGACCTTACTCAATGAGAATAGAATTTAGAGGAGAAGAGTAGCCTGTTTTGGTTGCTATGTGCGCTGCGAATTTTGTCGTTACTACCTTGTTGCTATTTCTGATGTGAAATTAAAATTTAAAGTACAAGATTAGAAGAAATAGTTGTTTTGAACTTATTTGCAAACATATTTTGAGTACGAGTCATTCTATCAGTGTTATGGTCAAACATGAACACTTTCTTTATCAAAAAATGTTTTCTATTAATTAAGAATTGCAACTTAGTTTGGTTACATAGGCAAATTGATGAATCTGAAAAATAAAGGAGTTCTAGTGGTTATCATGTGGTTCGAACTTCAGTTTACAGCTGTAAAGCTTCCGACATCAGTTTAGGCAACATATTCAGCGCCCTTCCACAGAGAGTGGCAAGAGTATAAAAACATCCCTAATTCGAAATACAAACAGTCATTACAATACTAAAATAAACACGATCAAAAAATATAAAATGAGAGTTATTTAACTATTTATTATCATTCTGAGATAAAAACTGCATGGAGAATTTTTATTCACTGAATTTATTCAATGGATTTATTTTTTGGAGTATGCCATACAAATTTCCAAATCTTTATCTTTTAATAGAAAAACAGAAAGTCCCCTTCACCTCTTTGTCACACACAATAAACACACTCGCTCTTACCCAACTGAAAACCATGAATAGTGAGGTCTATGGAGCAGAAACATTATTGGGTTTGTTTAGTCCCCCAACGGCTGGTCAACTATTACCGAATCTACTGTTACCATCATCCTCAGAGTCAGACTCACCACTCAGTGTGCACAAATTTTCATTCAACTCAAACTCAACAACAGCATTTTCCAATATAAACAGGAATAGCAACACTTCACAACTACCACAAAATCATTGTGACAGTCAACAGTATTTCGCCTTCAGAAACTCATTAAACAATCCAAAGATAATGACGTCAACAGCAGTTTTGACCACGGAAACAACAGCGACAAACAGTGTAACACCTGCATCAAATTCACTGTCACAATATTCCAGAATTTTTAATTCACGCACAGCCTCTGGTGGTGGCAGTAGTAGTGGTTGCACTATTGGAAATAACAGCAGTAATAATAATGTGGATGACAGTGCGATTGATATAAAACAGAATATTGAAAAGATTAAAAGGTTAGTTGTGTGTCTGTTACTCTAGTATTATTTTAACTTCATGTAATTTAGTGACAAGGGTTGTTATGAGTAATTATTCTTCAGAATTGAAGTAGTTTGTGAAACTTTGCTTATACAGTTATTCCTACCATTATAAAGAAATATGGTGTAAATTATTGACATTTTGGGAATACATTAAAATTAAAACAGTTTCAAACAAAAATCAATAAAAGCTAGGAGTCTCGCGTAAGCTATGATGCAGAGCATAGGCGCTTCACCCATGTCATTAAGTAGCATATAATCATGGCAATAACCTTCTAGGGTAACGCAGAAGTTTAACTATTAACTCTACCTACAAGTGCGTCGGTGGCATAGCGGTTAGGACACTCGCCGGCCATGCACGTAGTCCGAGGTTCGATCCCCGGCTGACGCATTCCTTTACCTCCCTAAGCCAGAAATAATGCTGGTGAAGAGGAAAGGTTAGGCATGAGGCTAGCAACCCCATCCTGTAAAATAAACACTGCTACAGAAACTTCAAGCCACTAGCTTGAAGCCCTATGTTCCACTGGGGAACGTGAAGGAAAAAAACACAAAAAAAACAAGTTTTTGAAATTCTCTTGGGAGGCTTTAACTTCGGTCATCATAATAACTTGTCTGGGCGATGCCCTCACAATTACCGTACTGAACACTGGTCACATTATGCTTTGAACTTAATAAAATATGAAAATACTAACTATCAGGTCCCCCTCTTATGTGTTTTCTAATTCATGTATTCTGATAAAGCATAGTCTGACTATCTTCGTTTGACCAAGTTTTGAAGACGTGTACAACTTGTTATCGAATAACTGTAAAAGGAAAGTATCTCAGTACCAGTGGTTTTCATACACCATACTTTTCACATTGGTTAGTAAAAGTGTAGTCTGTTTTCAATCAGATATCTGATTACCTGCTGACTACAAACCTGCATGCTATTCATAGCAAGTCCCAACTGTGTAATCCAGTCTAAATTTGTTTCGTTCTTCCTTTTTACAGTCATCCGTTATTCCCGCTACTTGCATTAATTTTTGAAAAGTGTGAACTTGCAACATGTACCCCAAGAGATGAGAATTCCAACAGTTCCGCTGATGTCTGTTCCTCTGATTCATTTCAAGAAGATATAAGTGTATTCACAAAAGAAGTAAGTTAATCAACTGATAATCAATGAAAATGAATGAACTTGCCTAGTAAAATAATTTAATATTTTGTAAATAATTTTAACAATCAAATCATGAAACTATGCTTAAGATGAAGATACAAAATGACTTACTACGGTCAATTAAATCAATTATACTGTTTTTGTGACTTGAAATATTTCAAATGTTGATAAGAGTAAAACTAAATATCTGTCTGAAAAGAAAAGACTACATCATCATAGTGGAAATCAGTTTTTGAACTTGAATATCTTAGACAACACTGTAAATGTGACACCTTAAAGAAGTATTATTTGTTAAAGTGGAGGAATAATATATTTATCATAAAAAGTAATTTTTAATACTTCCAATATCAAATCTACTCTTTAAAAAAAATTTCTTTAAAAAGATCAGTGGTAAAGCACTGATTTTTAAATCTGACCTATCCTATTTCTCAATGGAGTTTGTACAGGGCAATAGTAAATTGTCCTTAACTTTTGATTCACCTGAAATATTCATGTGAACTGATTGGCTGTTAACTACACAACAATTCGAAATAACTTGATTGAAGTATTGGGCATGACTTCTTTTAATGTCAATGCCCAATTAATCAATAAATCTTAACATCACTAGCATTTATCACGTAGACTTGATGTGATTGTCCGACTGTGTTTAAATGGCCTCTCATTTAGTCACGAGTAACAGTTAAAACCTACCTCAGTTTCTGTTGCACTGTCTGAAATCAGCTGTTCAATTAAAGACTGAAGGAAATAAGAATGTAGTTTTATTAGCTATCATTCCTTAATTATCTTCATGAGTAATATATTACATAAAGAATCATCATTCGGAAATGACATTATTATGATTGCCCCCTTGGATTTCGAATGAAACATAGGGCTTCAGAAACACATCTCAAATTCGCCCTATTTGATGCTTGCCTCTTCAGATGACTGACCCCACGATTCACCATAATCTCTCATCTCCCCCTCGCCCCACGATCTACTCCATGTCACCCTCGCACCAACGACACACCCGTCACTTCCCATTCGGATTCAACTCGAGTGATGGACTGCATTGAGCGCGATGTCATTCGACGGTCTCTTCAGTGTATGCTCGGTCCATCTCCATTTCCTCCTACATATTTGTTGAGCCATTGACTCCTGTTCGGTTCATTCCCAGTCTGAGTTTCCTGTTGCTAATTGTTTCTGGTCGGCTGGCCGGCCATTCGATCTTCAATATGGAGCCGACGAAGTGGACAGCTGTTGGTAAGAGACTGCGGTAACTTGTCGTCAATGCTCTTCGTGACGCACTCGCTGTGCAATTTTCTGACCCATATAGAAGAAGTCACTGACTTACTTCACATTTGTGTTGTCAATCCAAATCTTCTTTATTCTGAGTGCTGAAAATGACATTATTTTATCTTAACTGAAGAGAAAAATGAAACAGCGTACAGATAACGAAAAGTCATTTTACCAAAGATATTGCTGAGCCAAAATTTATCATGAGGTATTCATGATGTATTTCTTTCTCAATAACATGCTCCCCTAATAAAGTAGCATTATATATACTTGCTCACTGATTATTTTACTTGTCTTATTTTGTATCATGAAACATCATTACAGGCCAAAGGTTAAGTGGAAAACTGAAATGACTGATAGTGGCAGACTGATTTTATGTAGAGCATTGAAAATAAATTATCGGGGAATAGTTCACGATCCATTATTCCATATTACCTATTTCGGTGCACTTGACAGAACTCTGTTGGATATTGTGGATGAATAAAAATAGTAGCTATCACACCTAATTCCTATTGCTTAACGTAATATGAAGAGTTAAATGACAATAAAAAAACGCTTATGTGGACTTGTGACATGACACACACCATATAAGTAGTCATTCAATGTATGAATGCTGTCTATGCTTATTAAAACTACAGTTTCAGTTAGATGTATCATCGTTTATGTACGTATCGTACATTTACTGTCGATTTTTGGTTAAAAGAAGGTTATACAGCTTTACTAAAACTTTAGTTGCACGCATACTACTGGTAATCTAATCGTTATAATGGAATATATGTCACAATACTTTCCAAAAAGAAATAATTCAATGGTACTTATATTCATTATTATTGACAAAAACAACAACATTAGGAGATTCGCTCTAATGCACTTAAATTAGTTTCATATATTGGTATCATCAACTTCTTCAACATCATCATCTTTTCTGAGAATGAATGCTAATTTGTAAAATCCTCCAGAGAATAAAAATAGGAAAAAGCGCACATGAAATAATAAGGTCAACTATCCATTTGAATTAAAAGTTTAGACTAGTAAAAGTTTGTTTATTTTCTCCGTGTTATCAATATTATTAATGTTATCACCACTAAAATTTTTACTCTTACTTCATCCTTGTAAGATGGAAAAGGAGCAGAACAAAAGAAAGACCTCGTAGTTAATACTAGTCGTCACTTATTATTCTCTATTTCTATATCCAGTATCTCTTCACTTTTTTTCTCTTGTCATCATCTTCCTGGCTAAATTCTTTATGATTTATTGATTTATCTGGTAATTCGATCCTAATTCTTCTTTCAGCTTACTCTATAATGACTGACTGATTAACTGGCTGAATATGAGCGCTTTTATTTCAAGGAAATATTATCCTCCATTAACTATTTACTTCTAGCTTGTTTATGTTTCTTCAAGACAGAATTTTGCATAGTTTCGTTTACATTATAGAATAAATGCATAATCAGTGTGGGAAGTGATCTACACAATAAAAAATAGATGTATGTGCACACATGCGGCATTAACAGTGAAAGACACGAGGAAACTGTGATGCTTTCGTTAACCATAATAACAAAGTGGACTTCTTTGAATACGACGAATTTAGATATCTAAGATGCCATTAATCTGCTTCTTTCATACCTCTCTTTGTCTTACCTTTCTTTACTGTATTTATACAAACATCTGAAGACATTTTGTGTTAATCTGTCACTTCCTGAGCTGATTTTTTCATAACCTTCTAAAGTAGGCAGTAAATACATTTAAGTACCGAAACGGAAAGATGTGAGGTCAATGTTAGCTCTATGGAGGTCAGTCGGTTTTTCAAATACTTTGTTTGTATCGATAACGTAGAAAAACCCAGATGTTAAGTTTAGCAGACCTCATATTTAATAAACAGGATATATTTACTTATCTTCTTCTGAATACTGTTTCTATAGGGAATTAACTAGAGACATCGGAAAGTTTTCAATGATGGTTTTGGTCACCGAAATTTGTCATCATTTTTATAGCACACAAACAATTATTTCCGCCTACACTTAATTAGTCGAATTCTGTCATAGCTAATTGGATGGTTTGAGTCGAAGACCTCTAAGCTTTACAGTATTCATACTACTGCGTTTCACTACCATAAAGACTGCTAGTCACCATCCACCAATTAAACTCTCAAACTGTATTCAGTATTACTGTAGTATAAAGCAGTTCATGAAGTACTAATTAAAAGCAATAATACATTGTTTTACTGTATGCATTTTATTTGCTTTAATTTTTGGTGCCACATGAATGGTTAATGAATAATTATGAAAGCTGATCGCAGGTGAAGTCTTGGTAACCATAAAAAAATGTCATAGGAATTATGATTATTTCACTTGTGAAGAAAAAAACACTTTGCTTGAGCAAATTTTTATTTAGAAATAAACTTGAAATTTCGAAGAAAGGATTTTCAAAGTACTGTTCAATAAATGAAGATTGTCTCTTAGACTAAACAGAGCACTTGGTCATTTTCAATAGAAAGACGTATTTTAACGATTAATGTGAGTGTTAAGATGTCACTTCTGTTAATCATACTTACATAAGGACTAACCACCAGCATTCTGTTGAGATGAACAAAACATAAAGCAAACCTTCGGTTTAAAGAGGATTCCCTGTGATACTGAAATGTTAAAATATTAGGTGTATGATTACAAATGTTTATCATACTTTGACTTCACAAACCATGATATGGTGAACCTGTTAGTGTAAATGTGTTTACTGGGCTGGATGGTTTAGTGGCGAAGCTTTAATTCTCACAACATCATCTGAGCTATAAATCTCCAACAATTCTAAAGGTAAACCCATACACCACTTCTTCAACCATGTAACTGCTATTTACAAGTCCTTAGCAATAGTATGGTTTTTTTCTTCCATGGCACTTTTCCTGTCTGCCAGTCTCTTCCCATTGCAATCAGTCAAGTTTAGCTAACAAAAGTACTAGTTTCAAGCATCACCTTTTGGCACTGATTGTAAACTCTTTGAAAGTATCATACAACCACTTGAAGACTATCGTCAGATAACAGATATCACTTTTGTCTGTTGAAATCAGTTGGTTCCCTAGAATGTATTCAGTCATCACTTTCAAAACTACAATCGCTTCACTAAAAGCTTTGGATTCACACTAGTGTTTTAGAAGCGTGGATTTTCACCATTTCAGAAGGAGAATGGAAAGATAACTCAATGTTAAGACGTATCATGGTTAGAAATCCTTAACTTATTGGCTACACACGTTTTCTTGATACTTTTCAACAATTATGTTTGTAGCTCCAGCAAACAGCTGTATTTCAAATCCGCTTACGATAAAGCTAGACACGAAAGAAGTAGACATATCATTGTTACTTCGACAGATAAGTGATTGTTCCCCTCATTCTAAATAAAACCATGTAGAATGTTTCATAACCAAAAGTTTACGATTTAAATCATTTTTTAGCAGGAGGAATTTATTAAGCTGAAACATGTTTATAGAATAAAATCATACATGTGGTTACCAGGTGAATAATTAGTACAGGTCAAATAATAGTAAAATGTGTTACACCTTGAGCATAATTCCTTAGTAAATTGTCAGTAACTTCCGTCAGTTAACAGTTGATTCAGAGCCTACAGGAATCTTAAAAAAACTCAGTCATTTGACTGCTGATTGCAATTTTGGTTGTTCGTCTTTTAAATCAAGGTTTCATAAAGAAGAATGAGAACTTCTAAGGAGGTTTCCTAAAGCTTAATACATTGACCTAACATTGAAAATGAACGTTAGTTATTTCATAACAGAAGTTTAGGGCTTCTTTTTGATTTATCAACGTGAATGTAATATAATGGATTACAAATTCCCATAATGAGTTTAAAAAAACAGAAGGGAATTCTCCCTTCACTAAAGAAGCCCAAGGACCCAATGACATTAAACGAAATGAACGAATTCCTGTGTTTCTCTGTCAAACTTCCTGAAGTTAGTAAAATATAAACAATATTTTCACGATATACTTATAAATGCTATTACTGGTCAGCCTTGTACAACAATAACTGTTCAGAATTTTACTTGCTAGATTATCTCCATCCGTGATGAAGACTATTTTGGTGGTGCATTATGATAACAGTTTTAAGATTTTGGCTGGATAAATGGATTGAAGAGGGGTTATATTTTGTTTAATCTCTCTAGATATGCATCACAGCTGAATGGGATTTTTCGAATTACTGATAGATGTGAGACTGAAAAAAAGAATACTAAGTCAAAAATCCTTGACAGATCAGTTCTCCAAAAATAAATCAAACTCATGCTTACCATACCATCAGAGAGGTCTGAATGAACATTGCATTTCCTTTTCACCCAAATGTAATCACTTTGTCAGCATTGCACATGGAATTCGTAAAATGAAATCACTTTACCGTTCTAAATTTAATTAGTTGATTAGAGTAACAGTATAGCAGATATCCGATGGACAACATACAAACAGTCTACAAATGGAATTATTCACATTGACATTTCCCTTAAATCAGTATGTTTACAAGTCATCTGAAATCTGATTCAACCTGTTGATCATTGACAAATTCGGAATTAAACGAGAAACTCAAGTGCTTTGGCTTCCAGATTCCTAGAAGCTTAACACAGAAGTAAGAGTGTTACGAACTACTCTTATAAATCAGTTGTTTGTTTGAAGGCTATCCAATATCATACCAGACTGATTCGTTGTGTTAGAAGAGCTGGCGTTATTTACTCTTTTGCAGCAGTTTCACTTTTTTATAGGCAAAAATTTCAAGTAGATTCTAGTCTCGTTATTTGGTAATAAATTATACATAGTTTCATTTATTGTTTTTATTATGTTTTTTCTTCGTTCGCGGTTATTTCACTAGAAAAAGGAAAAATATGAAAACCTTTCTTTTGTAAAAAATATGAATTACAAAAAAGTCACTCTCCGTTTAAAAAAAGCAGCTAAAGTATTCAATGAATGCATCCTTATAAAGTAAAGGGATGAGGAGAGAAACATCAGCCAATGAATAGTGAAGTAATGAAAATTTCCCCAGAGGCATTTTTGATTATCTTTTACTTTTTTCCCTCACATTTTCTGTTATTCTCAAGTAGGGATGAATAAAGGAGAGTAGGAGGAAAAGGGTTACGGAAAACATACTCTGATTGTATCGGTAACACTATCTATTAAATTTAGAATTTTAAGAGGAAAAATCTCTTTCTTTAATGTATGTATTTGAAGGGTTTCATTATTTTTGAACCCGCTTCATTCTTTTCTCAGACATTTTGCTGTTCCTTATCATTCAGGTTTATATTACCGGTTACATCTTCTTTCTGTCTTGAGAAATCATGAGACTTCATTGTTTACTGTGTTTAGGGTTTGTTAACATACAAACAACGATGCATGTAAACAAAGCGTACACAAATCGGCGTATATGCTTATTTTCTCTTATGTTCTTTAATTTTTATCTCTAAGACCTTTTCAAACTTTTCCTAATCTCTCCTCATCTCAAGTATATCCATCAAATACTTCCCACATTTCTGTTACTCTACCCTCTTTTTGTTTTTACATGCGTTTAGTTTAGTTTGGAAGGGATACTTTTAGGAGGCATATAATCACAATTTTAGTGGAAAAACACAGTAATATACCAACCTACAGATTCTCAGTCTTCCCGCTTTTTTTTGTTCTATCCCCTTATCTGATTTTTATTGTTTCACCTTCTACAGTATCAGATCATTTTGACACAGTTCTACACAAATCGTTTTCCATCATTTCCATTATCCGTTCTTCCCTTTTATTTTTTTACGAGAAATAAATATCAAAATTTATGTTAGAAAAATGCGAAGTTTCAAATTTGTAAAACTGTCAACGAGTTTTTCTAAACTTAAAAGTCATAGGCGATTTTGGCAAATACAGGTGCAAGTTTTCCTGATTTACTTTTCAAAAAATCTAACTTCATGTTACAGTATACTGTAGTTTATCGTAGAAATATTATCATATTCAGTCCAAGATAGCTACAATAGTTTTGACTGTAGAGGTAGTCTGTAACTATATGATAGGATAATTATAGTCTTTGAGTTCAACAGTGAATTATTGTTACTATTTATTTTATTCCTTTTCTGTCCCAGTGAAATATAGGGCTTCAAGCTATGAAGTTTCGGTAGCAGTGGTGTTATTCTATTTTACGGCTTGGGGTTGCTAGCCTCACTCATAACCTTCCCTGTTTCTAGGTCTTATTACCGCCTAAGCGAGGTTTAGGGGTGTGTCAGCCAAGGATTGAACCCCAAACTATGAGCGTGGTTGGCGGGCATTCTACTGCCGAACCACCAACACTAAATTAAAAGCATCTAATGATTACAATTTTAGTGAGTTATGTATCTTAAAAGGAATTAGACCGAACATTTTATTTTGCCTAATTTTGTCTAACAAGATATTCATCACCATAGAAACTTATAGCTACAATCTCCATGTATACCTCAGAGTTGTTCTCATTCGCACACTGGTCATGAGCTTGCAAAAAATTATGATACAATCAATCACATTTAATGCACTAATATTGAAAGTATATGTTCTGAAAAACAACTATCTTTCTTGTAAATGAATACATAAATGAAGTCTATATTTAACTGATAGGCTTACCGTTCGTTTCAATTCTTAGAATTACCGAGAAAATTAAACCTGTACGATATCTCATATTTGCCAAGCTGAAAGACATAATGCGATGAAGTGTGATATTTATTACAAATAATATTAAAATCCCAATATTTTAGGAAAAGGATTAACTGGAGGGTGAGATCTTTGGCTAATAAGGCTAAACAAGAAATGAGATAATAACACCTACTCCGTTTTCTCTAAAATGTTAAGTACTACCCTTTTTCGTGATCCAGGAAATTCTGGAAAGAGTAGATCAGAAAAAAAACACCCAGAATTTTCATGGTTCAGGTTCCCAGTTGGCAAAGTTGTTTACTTCCGATGAGCTCCTAACAGTGTTTGAACTTCTCTATGTTTTTCCTTAACTATCATTGATTCCTTAGCTATCTGACACTAGCTTTCATCAAACTAGTTAATTTCCGACTATGACATGAAAAAAATCTCAAAGCTAATCTTAAAATCAACCAGTATGATGTATGACTTGAAAATAAAATTCCGACTTGTATCCTACCTTCAGCGATCATAATTTATATCTCTCGAATAGTAAGAGAAACAAATTGCACAAAACCTATTCACGTGTTCTAAGAAAGATAAATTAGTGAGAAAATAAGCTTATCAATATTGTCTTTTTCAGGAGGTTTTTTATTTACTGCTGTTTGTTCCATTTCTTGTTACACTTTGCATCTGAATTCGATCATTTCGTTTTTAACAATTTCTCGTGCTATTCTTCTTTTTTTTTACCGTCGCCTCCATTCCCCCCTCTTCTCGGCTCGTGATTATTATATTCACTCGTCATTTTATGAACAGATGGCTTCTTCAAATCGACCAATGTTTACATCTGAACAAGAATTGAACTTATTAGTAAGTGTTTTTTTGTTTTTTTATTATTTGTTTGGTTTGTCATTTTTATTTTAATTTTATTTTTGTTCAGTTTTTCCATTTCAAAGATTCTTTTGTTATTTTTCAGCTTTTTTCCTTGTGTTTGTTTACATGTTTATTTGTTTTAGAGGAAATATTCTCGTTTAGTGATTATCATGTTTATTGTTCCTGTTGTCATTCTATAATGAAGTTAGATAAGCTTGTTTGAGTTATGTGGAATAGCTGTTGGAGCATAACTATACGACTGATGACTACCACTACTCCTACTAACAAAATGTTTTCTTAATTTGACATTTAGAAGACAAAAGGATTGAGCAAAGAAATATTCACTCTTCATTTAGGTACTCATTTTCGCATTGTACTAACACTGTTTCGTTTTAGGTATCAACAATCACTCAAATAAGATGACAACATAGCCACATAATACCGGTCTACTTAAAAATTACTTGTTACATCAATCTTTCGTATAACCGAAACTATCTGGTCAGTTCGTTCCCCTTCTCTCTCTCCTCTCTCTCTACATATATATATATATATAATAACATCTCTAACTACAGGAGTATGTGAGGTGGCGACATCAATTTCTTTGAAAGTGTAGATACCCCCTGTTGATGAGTGCCACTAAGAGTGAAACCTCAGTCCAGCCACCTCCAACCATCTTGTATTGACATAAATCCTACCCCCTTCCTCAATTATTTAACACATTTCAGGAGGGTATCTAAAAATTTCTAAAGCTAAAAACCCATAAAATAAGTTATGGAAAATAAAAAACTAAACTTTGTAAGTCACTTGTTGTTTGTGGAAAACTGTGACAGTTCCATAACTTATCGAAGCTACGCTCCATTTCACTGAGAATAAGCGGTGGAAAGGCCATTCAACTTATTACGATATTTTATATCCTTGAAAAGTGTTATCATTATCATCCAGAGTACCAGGTGTTAAGTTTAGATCTATTCCCATTACTTCACTTACTGAGGTACTTTAAGTAAACGGTCCTATTTTTTTCATTGTTACATTGTTGCTAATATTTTCACTTAATTTCACATTCATATTTTTAGTGAGTAATATTATCGATGTAAATGCCCTGTATAAATTATTACCCCAGTAATGAGAAAGTTAGGCGCAATACTGTACTACGTGCTGAAAATTCCATATTTGTACCAAAAAATACTGTTTGGAATAAAGCCATTATTATTATCAAATAGGGATAAATAAAATAATGATTTTGTATATTACATTTTGAGTGTGTGAGTGTTCATGATTCAAAGCAGTATCATTAAACTTTGAATTACGTTACATGGAAAAAAATAATTAGGCTGAGTTCATTGTTGATTGAATGAGAAATACAAGAACTCAGCATTAAACTATACTTTCAGTTATGTCAGGTTATACGCCTGAGGAATTATGTATTTGACGAATATAATAAATTGTTTGTTCTTTATTATTTATAGAGTGATGTGGAATCTTTCACCGTTCCACTGTATTTTATCCTGTATTTATTTTTTAATTTGATTTAGATTATTCAAGCCATTCATGTGCTTCGATTTCATTTACTGGAAATTGAGAAGGTAAGCATGTCTGACTACATAAAATAATTTAGTTTCCTTTGCACATTGTCAAGGTTACATTCATGCGAATAAATATTCATTTAGATAGTCACTTAAAGTAGCAAACAGTCTATTGTTATTTCACAATAATGTTTAGAAATGAAGCAGCTGTTTAAACACTACGGTGAGCAAGCACTCAGAGGTTTACAAAGCGTATTACTAATCAATTAACGCTGTCTAAATGGAAGTTGAACAATAGTTTCATGAGACGTAGTTTTAAGTGGCACTCTAGTTACTGTGCATGAAAAATTCCCAATAATCGAACTGCACTATAAGTTGCTGAGCATTTTGACAGCTCCTAAATATTGTCTAACCCTGAAAAGCCATTAACAATTAGTCACATTTAACATACTAAAATCTTACTAGCTTCTCATGTAATTAGTAAAGTAGCTACCCTTCATGAAAGTTTATACTCTAGTTCACAAGTGTCCAATATTATCTCGAAAGTGGTAGATAGTTTTCGTCTTCCAGCTTGATAACTCTTTGACATTTGAAAGCTAATTTGTTTAGTGAAAAAAAGATAATCATGAAAACTTCAATTTAAGCTGAGAAGTGGCATATCGCACAGTGTTTACAGAAATTAGAAGGTAAAACAATTTATACTTTCAATGAATATTTCTTCAGATGATACGAGACTAAACTCAGTTTTCTTCATACACAATAAAATGCTGTTTTCTTAGTGTCAGCAGGTTATTTGTATTATTTTTATTCTATTCCTTTACATTCCGAATAGAACATAGGGCTTCAAGCTGGAGTTTTGAAGCTTCTGTAGCAGTGGTTTTGTTTTTACGGTGTGTTACCGCTAGCCTCACCCCATGCCTTCGTTCCTTACGGGTTTAGTGAGGTTTGGTAGTGTGTCGGCCTGTGATCGAACCCCGGATCATATGCATGGTTGACGAGCCACCCACCCAGTCAGCAGGTTAAACTGTTGTAAATTTGTTTTCATTTCAATACTAGTCACTGATGTTGCTTTCAAGCCGCCATTAATAAGTCAGAAAATAAAGTTCCCTCACAGTACGAATCTCCTAACTTAGCGACCACATTTCAGGAATTGATCAGTTGAATACACACTGTGATAACGGATGATCTATTGGGAACAAATATTATTGTCCAAATAATTCAGCAGAGGGAAATGAATATGAGAATAAGATACTGGTATGAATATATCACATATAATAATTTGTTTACGAATTAATGATTATAGAACAATTACAGTCTACTTGGATCCATTCAGTATTATACCAATATAAATTGTTATACATGTGAAATATAGACTAACACTGATGAAATTCTGTTGTCTATTGTGATATGTAGAACTCGGAATATCCTGTTCTATCTCATGAATAAAGATGGTAACTCCATTCGTATAATAAATTCGTATATCATAACTTTTTAAACCATTAAGTGGGAGATTTATTTTGAGAATCTTAGGATTTAATAACCCTTGAAGTGGTTGAAACAGCTTCCAATAACTTTAATTTTTTCTAAAATTCGATTTGATAATCATCATACTTTGAATCTCATAAGCAGTGGACAGATTCTTTTCACCTTCACTTGATCACTATTGCACTAAAAGCTAATGGAAAATGAAAAGTTTAGACTGTTATCAACTATTTACTCTCTTTGAATACCTACCAGTGTTTATGGTCACAAAGACTTCTACATACCTTTGTCGCCTTATATATGTATATATATATATAACTATTGATCAAGCAACAAATTCTTCTTCATCTAAACTAAACCCACCAAGTATAAACTAGTTTCATTTTTTCATGGAATACAGTCAGAGTGAGATCAGTATTAGTGCCCAAAACTGTGTAGATAAAGACTTAAACTTGGAAAGCAATGAAATTTTACTAGGCCAGGAATCTACTAGTTTTGAAGGATAACATTACACTATACGAACTAATGCATATTCATCAATAAATGAAGCTGACATTGACCTACCCCTGACTATTAGTATGATGTAGCCCATTCTTTTTATGTTTATATATAAATGATGAATTTGTCTGAAGTAGCAAAGCATTGAAAAAGAGACTTTCTGCTCAATCACAAAAATTTCTTTTTAATTATTTTAGATATCGCAGAGTGATAACAATGAGTCACTCTGGTCCACTGCAATCATACTTTTCCCCTAAGTATGCATGTTCTAAATAGGGCATTTAGACTACTTTAAACTGATGTTTGATTAATACTCGCAGATAGCAGTCGTTGTAGTCATCAAGAAAATATGTTAATAAACTCAATTTCTCAGGACGAGAATTAAGACATTATTTTCCTCTGAAGTCTTCCAACTTTCCTTGAATATTTATGGGGGTTCTGTTACACACCATAGTTGACACAAGCTCTGTTTGCTTTTCGCCTAAAAGCTTCATCAATGAATCATGTAACGTAGGGGAGTTCACTTTATACGTTTCTCTCTAATACCTCACATCTAAAGCTAAACGAATTTATATGCACTCTACTTCCGAACTTGACGTAATTCTGATATGTAAACTACACTTGGACATACTACCTACTTAACCGATAACAATCATTTACAATTAGTTCTATTAATATCACATTTCAGGCGTTTATTTCTACTCAATTTGAATACTGATATAAAATCTATTTATGATTCATGACGGTTAATAAATTACTAGAAATCTTATCATATTGATGTATAATCAAGTTAATACATTATTAATAATAGAAATATCTTCAGTAATAACTCCATATACTCGTCGTTCTCAACTGTATATCTATCCTTTAAGGTGCAAACTGGTAGTTACAACTACTCAGATTCATATAAACCTACACACACAAATGAGCATTCTAACCAACATTTTGACAACACACACACTTGCCAGTATTTGTCTTTATTTATTTCTTCTCTAACTTTTATCATACTTATTTATGTGCTAAATTCGTCTGGTATTATTACTTATTGTCATTATCATCCGTAGTGTAGTCTTCAAGTGCCTTTATTTCACTGTTCTGTTATATGCATTTCTCTTTTCATTCTAACAACTTGTTATTTTATACTTCTCTTCTTTCCCTTTCTCCTGTTTTTCCTTTCATTCTAGACTTGTGATATTTGTTTCCTCAATTTATCCAGCACCCTGCTTCTTTTCTCTTGCCCTCCAATTTTCTTTCTGTCTCAACCGCTTCTTATAATTGGACTATGAAATAGGTAGAATAAAAAAATAAAACAAACTATATATATATATATATTCTGAATGATTCAATGACTGAATGAATAATAAATGATTAATTTCTTTTGACATACTCTTTTCTATAATCTGAATGCGAAATAATTTATATCAGATAGGAATCAAGCTTATATATATATATATATATATATATATATGCGAAAAACGGTATTATGCCTTGTGACTGTCTGTTTGTGTGGTTCACCCATCTAACCATCTACCCTAATCCTCATATTAGCTGTACCAATTATCATCAATTCTTATCACTGACACTTCTATGCAGCTTGAAAGATGACAGGTATTAATACTTTGGTTGGTGATAGTGAATAATTTAATTGGAAATCGATTTTATTAGGGAATAAAATAGCTAGAAGTTTAAGAAGGGATACAAAGTTAGTCTATCATCCCACCTATTTCTTACCATATCTGTTATAAACGAAAGATCTAGTCCGTACAAACAATGAAAATATTAACTATTGGATATTAGTTTATCTTTTCAAGTATTGACTGAAACAGTGTCATAGGTATGAAACTTTCTACAAGTTGACTATCTCTATAAATTATAGCATATTTTGCTTTCAACATTGCTTTCACTCCTGTGAAAGTGTGGTAGAGATTATCTTTGGGTACATGTAGTATGTTTGTAATGACTGTCACTAATATATCAAAATTTGCCTGGACAAAATAAAGAGGTAAGAAATAAACAAAAGGTAACTGACTTTATTTATTATCTGTATTTCTCGGTGAAATTGTAAACAATTAGCAAGTTATCCAAAATACTGCCAACTTTGAAGATAACAAATACTATGATGTTTCTCATTTAATATGGTTTCTTGACAGACTTCCCACTTTTTTTCAAAAACTACACTTTTCTATCAACATCCTGCATAAGAGGTGTCTGAATTATGGTCACCTGAGAAGTATCTTCTTATGAAACCTAAAGTGTATTGAAGCTTCACAGGATATATATATATATATAACGCAAATTAAATCACTATAAAAACCGACAGAAGAAGCATATAAGAGTATCACGGTGGCACAGCGGCAGAATGCTCGCCAACCACTCAGGTGGTTCGAGGTTCGATCCCTGGCTGGCACACTCTTCGCTAAGCCGGTGATAGGACTGGTAAAGAGGGACGTTTTGGCATGAGTCTAGCGACCCCACCCAGTAAAAATAAACACCACTGCTACCGAAAATTCAAGCCTCTAGCCTGAAGTCATATGTTCCACTGGGAACACAAGGGGCAAAAACAGGGAATTTTAAAATCGATCCTATCATTTATTCACTTAGTACGAGTTAACTTCTATGGTACTAATATAGTGAGAATATTTAAGTCATCTCACTGTATGGCAAAACTATGTAAATAGTGATCGATTTTAAATCAGCAGATTTTTAATATACTATTTAATAAAGGGGTCTAAAACCAAGTCCTGGAATGAAAATATCTGGTGTTTCTAATGTATCTTGGTTTACTGAATCTTGGCATGCTAATAATTTACTATAAATTTCACAGAATCTGAACAGTATACTTATGTTTACAATGAAGAAATTAGTTTCCGTATGTACTTCTCAATATCTCAGTCAGAAGTGAAAATCTAGCTGTTAGACATGGCTAACTCAGCATTAAAACTCATTAACGTCATATTTTTCTGATGTTTTATAAACATATTCACTAAAATGTCTAGTGGTAGTTTTGAATATATGGGATCACAGGAATCTGGTGTTAGCTAGACTATTAAAAACACTAGTAAAATTGTAATTATTAAAACGGTTCTTCCGCTGTGGATAGTCTAACTACTGTGTTTTATATAGTGAATGTAGATTTCACGTCTATAGTCTTCCCATTTTTGTGCTCATAGAGTTTTACTACGCAGTCACCAGTTTAGAGACATAGTCTATTAAGACACTAAAAAGAGACCTAATGTTCTGTCAACTATAGAAATATGGGAGAGAAATTACAAGAGACTTGTTTGAACAAAAGATGTGTAACTGAACATCATCTTTATGTGGGCTCTTTATGAAATACGGCTTTTCATATAAAGCCACTCTCCTATTAATTTATGAGTTGACCAGCTTAAAATAAACACTGTAAGGTAACTAACCCACAAACTTACCAGTTTAACAGTCATTGAGGATAGAATAGAATAATAAATATCAAAGAGTACCAGGCTGACCTGATTAATCACTTCTTTAGCCACTTAAGTTGAAACAGGAGAAAATGGGGACATCTCGTTTAACCGCCAACTTTTATTGAATAATTTTTTTTCTCATCTCGATCAGCTTGTAATACACAAAAACGTATCGGTCACAAGGGGAAGTTATCTCGAGAATCCTATACACTTTATCCAGAAGTATGCCACTTATCCCATTCGTATGTGTGAACAGCATTCAAAGTGGTAGACGGTTTTTCTTATTCTTTGAATTTCAAGTAACTTAGTGTAAATCAACTTGCGAATTTCCTGAAACATCCAGGAAAGCTTATTTTCGTGTAAAGGGTTTGTCCACATTTAAGCTCCTCTCCCTCTGAAACAGCTCATGTATAAACACATATATGAATGCACCACCTTGTTTGGAAACGAAAAATTCCCCCTTTTCTTCTCTTTTTTTCTTAATTTAGAAATTACACAGACAAGTATTCTTTACAATTTTAAATAATGATAAATTACTTCCTGAGTTTTGTTCAATAAACATTATTCTGTAATACAAAGTAGTTTGATTTCATGTAATGCATGTACATATTTGTACAGTTTGTCGAAAACTAGGTGGTATATTAGGAAGGATATTCAAAACAATGATGATGCTTATTATTCAAATATTTGTTTTTGAGTTAAATTTTCACTTTCGCAATAACAGTTGTTTGCATCTTTTGCACATGATGTCGCTAAAACCCTAAACTGGCATAGATGATTATTTGCATAGATAAGAGGGGATGAATGCGCTTCTTTGATAAATATTTTAACACGCCAAAAATACACGGCGACATAGTACCCCGTTGTGCTATGTATGTGTGTTTTTAGTTCAAACCACTAGACTTATTCATTCTCTTAGTAAAATATATACACAATATGACAGTTTGACAGCCTTTCAGTAAAATGAATTACAATAGAGATAGGGAAAATAAAGACAACATAAAATGATAGTTCTGTATGTGTTTTATATGGTTTAGTATAGAGGAGAAATACGCAAATAACAAGCTAAACAACACAATAGTCCACAAGGCTTGGTTGTTGTTGTTGGAAGAATAACAGAAGTAAAGCGTTTCTTTTGTGTGCTTTTTTGAAAGTTAGCAACAGAAAGGTTAGTATTTTGTAGATTAGATTTTATTTGGTAGGTAAAGTTGAAACTAAACAGCAACTTCACCATGAAAACTATGTACATCATTTCTAACCAATAAACAAATACCATCAGTACTATTGATATCATCTACACAATTGTACTATTATTATTATTATTAACGGTAAAAATGATGATTCTAATAGTAATAGTTATTATTATTATTATTAAAGGAATGATAACTGTGATATTTAACGAACAAAAATACACGCATCATACTTATCTAAATAAAATTTGCAATATGCGCGTTTAGTTTTCTTCTAGTGATTTTTACTTGTATTACCTATTTAACCTTTGAAAATAAGCTAATATTAGTCTAGAATGGAATGTATTTCTAATTTTTATGAAGTAAGGAGGGTGGAAAGAGTTGAATAGTAAGGATGATGTGTATGCAAAAAAGTTGATATAAGCAAGCTGTCAAAACTGTCGACATTTTATGTTTTTAAATACACAAAGTTCGTACACAAGTATCATACACATGCATATATATATATATATATTCGTACATGCACTCGAGTAAATTATATGCATGTTGCAATATTTATACAGAGTAATGCAGTGAAAGCAAGGGTAGCAACTATGTTTGTTCTTTTTTGAAATGGAGAAGAAGGAAAAGGTTTTTGTTAAAACAAAAACGACAAAACACCAATAACAAGAAAAGGAAGTAAAGAAAATGCTTAATATGCATAAATGTACAAATTGTGGGTGAATGAACACTAATGAGTGAACGAATGGACGGATAGATAGATAGATAAATGAAAGGATATGTGATAAATGTTACTTCGAAAATAAAAACTTTAAATTGTGAAATATAAAAAAAACAAGAAAACAGCATGACAACCTTTTACAAGAATAAGTGTTGAAATTAACCATCTGACAAAATGCTGAAGTTATGGGAGAAGAAGGAAAAAAACAGTAGGGAAAAACGAAAATAGTAAAAATGCGTCTATTTCGCTATTGATGCATACTTTATTTCAAATGCACTACTGAATGCTACTACTTATTTAATCGTATTAATCTAACCACTGTATTTCCGCATACATTATATATATATATATATATATATATATATATATATATATATATATATATAGTGAGGAAAAGATGTACTGCCAACGCTCTTCACTTGGGCAAGGAGCTAACTACTTTTTCTCTTATCTGACATCATCCCCGGTAAATTCCGTAAAGGTATGAATTTTATTTGTACAAATTACTGCTGCTTAAGACAGTTTCCGAAAAGAAACTTGGAATGTGCTGTCAATAACATGATTTGATAATAATTAACTGTTTATTAGAGAAAAGCCTTGTGTTTTTCTTTCATCAACTGTGTTTTTATAGGGTTTACGTGATTTAATGCATCTATACAATCTAATAAAAATACATTTCCCTTGGTGTAGGACACCAATTGAAAACTTTTTGATAATCGCTTTGTTAAGAGGACTATCCGAGATAATATGTTAAACCAATGAATACAATTGTGCGAAGAAATGAAATCGGGATACGATTCAATCGAATGACTAAAGAAGATTTGTACTAGCGAAATCTCGCCGCTTAGCTACATTGGTTCCTTTTTCTTTTTGATTTTTATTCTTTTAGGTACATGAGTTGTGCGATAGCTTTTGTGCACGCTATATCACATGTTTAAAAGGCAAAATGCCACTGGATTTAGTATGTGAAGATAGAGAATCAGGTGCTGGTTCAACAGGTTCAGCGGCAAGTCCATTTTTAAATCGTTCATCTACACCAAATTTATTTAATGATGCAGTTGATTCAATAAGTGGACTGCAAAATCCATCCACTTTATACAGTCATAGCAACAATTCCATGTATAGTGGATCCATACTGTTTTCACCAAATTCCCACCATTCGACTGGTTCTCTTCCAGCTCCCCCATGTACAACTTCTATGCCTTATACACAAGAAGCCTGTCTATTCACTTCTGAATCAATGGGTTCGATTAGATCGCCTAACCACTCAAGCTGCAGTATTAATAACACTAGCAATGCTTGCCAATCCTATGTGTCCACTGTAGATAATTTCAAAACTATTCTGTCTAATGAATACGAACATAGTCAAATATCAACTGTAAATAACAGCACTATTAATGTGGAGTCTTCAAAACTGAATACAGTCCCAAATGGATCAATGTCGTCATCGTCTACATCTTCTATGGATTCAGCTTCACCTAACACGCAAATGGTAAGTTACTGACAATAAAATATATATATATTCTCAAATTACTAATCATGCAGAAGGAATTATAACTTGAACATAGTTTTCCCGTAAATAATAGTTAAGATTCAGAATTCAATGTTAGGCTTTCTAAAGTGTACTTGCAACTTTTTTTGTACATAAGCCTATAAAACCCCAATGATTATTCCAGCTGAATACATTTAAGTCTAAATTAACAACTTTTCGAAAAAAATATCTTTCAGTGTCATCAGGGGGAAATCTTTCTCACTTCTTCCTTTTTCTGCCACATTAAAAGTGACATATATGAGAAAAAATTTTTAGATTAATAATTCTGACCACAAGTATATGATTATTTCAGACAGTTATGAAATAATAATAAAATATAAAAGTCGTAAAACGCATGTATAGCATTTCTTTGGGTTGCAGAATATACATAAGTCTTGTTTTGCAAACTACTAAAACAGCACTAAGAATATAAACTTTCGAGAACAGAAGTCACCGGTTTTATTTTTATTGCTCATGTCAATAGTAAACTGTCTTGTACAATGATGTCCTCAGATAATGCTCTTTATATCGAAGCGAAACACTAACTTTTCACTGCAAATGTAGGGAATAATTGTTCATCCAATACAGTGTATATTCGAAGAAAAATAGTTCCCTACTTCTCTCCAATGATATAATTACACTAGATTTACTAATTCTAATAGCATTAGGCATTAGCAGTGAATGATCAAGGAGTCCTACTCGACTAAAATACTGTTCCACTTAGTTCTGTACAGTAAATCGTATTTTTAACTTTAAGGAAGTTCAAATTTCCTTGGAAATTCTATCCAGCATCAATTATTGTTGGTCGCTTAAGGTTTTAAAGTCGTCTCAGATGTTTTATGAATAAGAGATTACATGAATATTAAGAGAAATCAACCCCGTTGATCACTTCCTTATAATTCATATTCCTCGCCTAACAACTAAACGTCTATTACAGACACCTCATTGAATTAGCTTTTATATTTATATATATTAGAACAACTTCATCTGTCTATGATTAGTTACAACATATGTACATGGAAGTCTTTTAAATATATGAAAGTGTAAATCGAATAATACAAGTTAGTTTGTTGTTTATTCTAAATGTCAATGGCACACAAATCTCGTTCAGATAGAAATTCTGCTTTTAATGAATTATCCAAAATATCATAAGAACTTCTTGAGGAAATAATAATGATTAATAATAATAACAAAAGGAATGAGGATTAAGGGACAACAAAAAATTATTCATTGATGACTGACAATGTGTTTGTGTTCATATGTAGGCGTATTTATATGACATGACAGTTGACAGATATAACTAATGTTCAATTCTCAACAGACCTATTTTAACCAAACATAATGTAATCAACAGAAGTGAATGGAATAAAGCATAGATTTAAGAATTGCTTGAGTGCACATATCTTGTCAGCACACTTCAAGTAAACCTGTAACTTCATTGTTTATATTTTATGGAGTAAGATGTTTTGATTAGCATATTGTATAAGTGTCATATTCGGATGGAAATAAGGACAAGGACTAAACTACTTTTAAAGTGAGTTTCGTAGACTGTGATTACAGTGAATCTAGAAATGAGTGCTGATATTTTGTTTACGGGATTTAATCCACAACAGAGAAGTTTTTGAATAGCTGAACTTTTTTTTCTTGAAGAATTAACATCCACCAGGCAGTCGTTGAGAAATGAAATTTACAGGGTATCTTTCTGACATTCTTCTAAAATTATTCACTCCAGTATCTTTCATGGCTTATCTATTGCAATTTATAAAGAGAATTTACGACTTCCTGGATTTGTTCTGGTACACAAGTGATGACGTATTGGTCTAGACGCTTGACTTTCAGACAGCAAATAGGTTCAGGCTCCCCGATAATTCCCAGGATAGAGGCAACCGGATAATATGACTCGTTTTCATATAGTAGGACAATAAGAAAGAATGTTTTCATGGAGAAGACTTTAGAAGGCAATACACTGAATGAGCTCAGATGTTTTTGCTCTTTTTGTTCAAATATGACGGTTCAGGGGTTGAAATATTTAGCTTCCAATCACAGGGTGTGTGCTTTAATCTTCATTTGAATGTCACTATCCGTTTAAATAGTCTTAGTCTGTAGGGAAGTAATTGCAGAATGCATAGGAAAATACTCCACTTCCGAATTTAAAGACGATAACTCTCTTAGGGCGTTTATAAAATTCAAATGTCAATGTCAAACAGTAACTGATTTCATCTAAAAATCTGTTTCTAAAATATCAGCAAAACACCTGATTAATTCCGGAATCTGTATGCAAAATAAAGTGGAAAAATCTGCAATATTTACACAACATTTGACCATCGAAACCTGACAGTCTTGTTTGTATGTAGATACCACTCAATCGGCTTTCTTGCGTACTTTATATTATTGTTACTACTTTTTGAAAAATTAGATTGAAATTTACTCCCTATATATGAAGTCGATTTCAGAGGTTATTATCACAGAGACATGAAATGCTTTACTTACATATGTAACCAAAATTATCGAATATCAACCAATACATTGCTTTATTTACTTTTTTAAATATTTCCTTATGTTCCCACTAAGACATAGGGCTTCAGTCTATGCGCTTGAAGTTTCGGTAGCAGTGGTATTTATTTCTACGGGATGGGGTTGCTAGTCTCATGCGCAACGTCCCATCTTTATCGCTCTTATTACTGGCTTATCGAGGTGAAGGAGTGCATCGGCCGGGGATCAAACCCCGAACCACCTGAGTGGTTGGCGAGCATTCTACCGCTGTGCCACCGACGCATATATTCGGAGTATAAATAAAGAAAAACAGAGTATTGTTGTTAGTCTTTTGTTTTAATAGTAATGGTAGGACTCTTGACCAATTAGCCTGTTGAGATATTGAAACACTTTACCTAACTATGTCCATTCTGACTAATGTCATTACATATAAATAATGATATATAATCAAAAAATCCTAGGATTATTCATAGAAAATTAAATCTACTAATCAATACTACTAGATGGGTTGTTGGTTAGTAAGTCAATCCTTTCTGACAGTGAAGTCAATTAATCTCAGTCAGTTATAATAAAGGAAAAATTTAATCGAGTCTTTCATTTTTCGTTATTTGTCAGATTTCATTTTTGAAGTAAAAGAAAATACAGTGAGGTGGAATAGGTTGATTTATGGTGGTGGGCAGTGATACGGTGATGCATAAAATCTTTTAAAGAATACAACAAAACAAGACAGATAATGTATATTTAGTATCTTCATGTTTATGTTTCTCTCCACGTCTACACACACACAATCAACGACACACTGATCCATGTATATATGGAATGGTATACATCTACAGAGTAATACGAGAAGAATTGGTCATTTATCACGTGAGTATCAGAATAAACTAATCTAAATAATGTTGATACTGACGTCTGAGATGATGGCAATGATGATGATAGTGATATACCACAGCAACTGACTTATTTAATTAGCCCAGTAACTGAGGTTTTGTATACATACAAAAGCTCAAACCAACAGATGAACAATATGTCACGGGATTTAATCGAATTTTCTCTAAAATTTGACAGATTCGAAAGGCTGTTTGTTGTATGCACTCATATAAAGTAGGCGTTCACAAAGAGAAGGCATACACAAATAGCAAAATAGGATATACGTAGGATAAGAAGCAAAGGAAAGAAATGGAAAATTCAAATCGTGTCATACTTTGATAAACTAAATGCGCCAGAGAGAAAGACAAAGAGAGAAGATTTTAAAATTTGAGGAAAATAAAAGGTAAAAATAGGAGGGGAAGGATAAAACAAGGGATAATAAAAAATGGAGGAAACTGTTGCTGCGACTAAAAATTGAGAAATATACAGCAAAATTATCTCTCTCTTTTCCTTTTAAGACTTTTGTTTCTTTATTTTATTGGTTTTATTTTCTAAAGATGTCCACGGTATTCTATGTTCATTTTATTGTCTATTCACTCTATTGCATTCATTATATATCCCAACAATTGTAGCTGAATACAGAAAAAGCAGTAGCAACATTCATTTTTAGAAAGAATTTTAGAGTTATACAAGTAGAAATCAAGGATATATATATATATATAAGTACGATCACTTTCTCCCTTCATAATTAAAATATTATCACAAATATACGAAACAAACCGACCTTCAGTATTTCAGTGTTTATTGTTAACACTGACTGGCGACAGAGAAATTTAGACTTTGTCATTTTAAGTTATAAGCTATGAAGAATGATCAATACTCCATACCTTGACTCCAGAAGTATTGAATAACTCACTTTATTAACAGCAAACAAGTTTCGTGTATGATTTGCAGTCTCACTCAGGTTTTATAAAATGTTTATGTGAATCACACTCTTCAGGTTAATATAATTAGTGTAGTAGAATCCCACATTCAAGTTATTTACTTTAGGTACTTAAATTATTTAAGTGTGGTATTCACTTAAAAATGAAATCATTTGGATAAATGCATTATGAATAGAAAAATAAAATTTGGTCACTATGGTAGAATATAGTTTCTTATCAGATAAGTTTACTTGATATAACATACAAGGAAACAACATAAGTAACAAGAAACAATTATTAGCATTGTATCACTGTGTATTGCATCAAATAAACTTATCTGATATGAAGAGCATACCGATAACTAGGAGATTTCTTCTCGTCCTATTTGAAAACTCATTTAAATTTCGTAAATGTACAACCTTAAAGTAATACATATTTCAGTTACCGAAATAAATAGGCAATAGAAGAAGTGTAAATAAAAGTGGGAATTCCTCTCAGTTAATTAAAACTGGAGTAAATTTCTTCACTATTGAATAATGAAATTAAAAGACAATTACACATAATATTTCCACATGAATCAAGCTGAAAAGCACGAGCCAAAAAATTCTTTCGTATAACCCTAAAAGTTGTCCACTGATCTCCAAGTTGCTGTCAAATGAGAATCGCCTATTAGTT